GTTTAATATTTATTTAATTTTGTGTAGTATAATGTGCAAATATCACTATAGAAATAGCATTTAAATATCTGATATTTTAAATACAGGTATTAATATATTTACAGCAGGTAAATGTTTTGTTGATTATGCATTTTTAATAAAATTTTTTTCATTAAAATTACTATGAATTTTTATATCAACAAACAAAATTTAGAATACAAAGTATTATATAGAATAAAATATTAAATTAAGATACAGTATTGTATTCCCAAATCTTTTTTAATTTGTAGACTCTTTAGGAATTACAAATTCAAAACTAATTTTTTAACCAAAAAAAAAAAACATTTGCAAAAAAGAAAATTTATATCAAATTAAGCAATGTTTTGCAGATTTTGAAAAAACTATTTTGTATAAAATAAATTTATTTATGATGATAAATATAAATTATATTTTATAAGAACCAGTACCTGTTTGAATAAATTAATTAATTTCAAACATGTAAGTATTAAATATATGAAAATACTTACATAACATACTTATGTAATAATAAAACAAAACCAATATTAACTTTTTGTTTTATTATTATATAAGTAAATAAATTTTTAAAAATTTGTTTAGAAGAATAATATATATTTAATGTTAACTATCTCATGAAATTTTTTAAAAAATATTTAAATCAAATGATTATTAATAGTAATATATAGTATTATATAATAAAATATTCTTATTAATTTATGTAGATAGTTATTCAAAATGTTAAATAGAATATTAAAATTTCAAAATATCTATTTTAGATTCTTTTGTTTCAACTATTACATTTAAGCTACTAAAATAACTTCAAAAAATGTTGAGTGGATTAGCAAATTATTTATTTGGAGGTGAGAAATCGGATGCTGCTGTGAATTCAGAATGTAGTTTTGATTTTAACACAGAGGAGGAGGATGATGAATGGTTGTTGATTGATGTAGCTGGTAGGTACTGTATTTTATATAAATAGAATAAATATGTTATAATATGTTAATATGATTTGTATATTTCTCTTATCTTCTTAACCTATCCAAAATTTATTTGCGATTAACAATTTCATGTATAAAAATTTGGCTGACAAATTTACATATTAGTAAAAATACATAGAAAGACTAAAATGTCTTCACTTTCACCATGTCCAATCATCAGGACAACAATCTTCTACTGCAGAGACAACCTTTCTTTAGAGTCTAGACCTCTAAAAAAACATGCAAAACAGTCTAAAAGTTCTCCAGTGACAAACCCAAAACAATTAAAATTGTTTTGGGTTTGTCACCGGAAAGGTCATCCTGCAGTGGAAGATTGTCATTCTCAGTGATTGGACATGGCAAAAGTGAAGACATTTTAGTCTTTCTATGTATTTTTACTAATGCGTAAATTTGTCACAATATTTCTTTTTTAAAAAATGGCTATTTTTAATTGTTTTTGGCTTGTCACAGCAGAACTTTTAGACTGTTTTGCATGTATTTTGCAGATTCATAGTCTCTAAAAAAAGGTTGTAGTTCCCAATAATTAGACATGGCTAAAGTGAAGATGTTTTAGTCTTTCTACATATTTTTACTAATAAAATTCTCAGTTTTTTAAGAAGTTAAGGATTAGTTTCCACATATGAAAATAGAAATACAAGCATATTTCTATATTTTTGGATTAATTGAAAATAGCTAGTAACATTTTTAAATGTTGTTCCTATTGAAGGCACTATTAAAATAAAAATCACTGTATAACTTTAGTTCTTCATATAACACTTTTTAGAACATTTTTTTAGGACAGTTGATAAAATACGTGAATTTTATCAACTAGTTATTCAAAATAAATATTTTCAACATAAATATAATCATTATCAGATCAAAACTGAAAAATTAGAATAATAATAATTTGAAATCAACTCTTTATTTTCAAATCCTTAAAAATAGTTAATGTTGACCCATCCAAGACACAAGGTATTATTAATAGAATTAAACAAAAGCTTTTGCATTCTTAACCCCAGAGAACAAATAGATCTTTTCCTTCTCTATCCAAATATTGTAGAAGAAAAATGATTCTTCCATTTGGGAAAATTTATATAAAGATTATAAATGATAAGAAATTGAAAGGAGACAAGCAGATGGATGGAAGATCATTAAGATATACTCATTTAAAGCATGAGGTAGCAAAAATCAGTGTTGCACTCGAAATTTAATCTTGGGGAGCCAAGTTGAATGGATAAAAAATTCTTTAATGCAAATTTAAAAAATCTCACCTTATTTGACTGCTAATTCATAATTAATAGAAGACAACATAATATAAATAAAAAAAAAATAAATTTTAATTAAGAAAAAGTTATGGAAATTTACTAGTTTTTTCCCTCTTTTACTTCGGGGGTGCAGGCACACCTTGGACCCCCTCTGGGTGCATCACTGTCTTATCAACATGCTTATGAATTAAAATAATTTTTTATGAAATATCATTTTTTTGTTTTTTTTGACCATACTAAATGAAGAAATTATTTACCTTTTGTTTTTAAGTGTTTCTTATTTTTTATTTGAGGTACTAATGGATTTTATGTATATCTGTAGCAATGAAAAATTGCATTAAAAATGTACTGAATTATATTGAAATTATATAGCTTCCAAATAAAATTACAAAATTAATACACTTAAGCATTGGCAGGATATTCTGCAAAGTAAATATTATAGGTATAAAAAACTTAACTTGCCCTAAATAGTTTATGATTGAATTAGTTCTAAGCTCACTTTTATTAGAAATATATTTAACTTAATAATATTGACACCTGTTTTAATCTATGTTTGAGATAACAATTGTTTATCAACATAATGCATGTTTTTATTGTAAAATTAATGTAAATGATGGTGTATTTATTACTAATAATAATATCCTTTTACTGAATCTGTTTTATTATATCTGGTTTATAATAATAAGTATAAGTATTTCCAAATACTAAAGTTATTAAATATTAAATATTAAAACTTGTTTAGTCCTAGTTTCATCATATATAGAAAATATTATATACAGTAGAAAAAGATATTTTTAATATGCTTCAATAAATAAGATTTGATTTGGGTTTGATAACAGATATATTTAATTGATGTATTTCTAATAATTATATTTTGGGGTAAATGGAAATATTTTGTTTATATATGTTTTGAAATAGAGATATATGTAAATAAATAAATAATTTATAATAAATAAATAAAATATAGAACAAATAAATATGAACAATTGTGAACTATCGTGCATTACTTTTGAATTTAGAAATTTTATGTTGAAAACCATCCTCTACTCATTTTATTGGTCATATACTGTAAATTTATTGTTAAATCAAAATTATTTTTTTTAAACAATCAAGGATTATACAGATTATATTTTCAATCAAACTTAAATACAATACCTTTAGATTTTATTTATAAAAATAGAAAAGTTCAACATTTAAATAATAATAAAAATGTTTTATTTTTCTGAAAGCAAAAATAAAAATAAAGATTCAATTTAAAAAATTTTTAAAGCTTATTGTGAAACATTTTTTTGTTTGTAATTTTTCTTAAATTTGAATGATTGCACTAAAAAGTACAGTACTGGACCAAATATCTGGCAAGTTTAGGATCAGAAGAGGTATGGAGTTTTGGATTTTCCAGTTTTCTGGACCCAGGAAATAATATGTACTGTATTTAAAATATAAAATAAACAATGGAAAGTAAAAGAACAAAACTTTTAACATGCCATATGCCATATGATGGAATTGGCATCATGCAACATATATGCCGCAGAAAACAAAACAAAGTGGCTGCTTGGAAAACTACAGCTGTATTACTGCCATCAAATTCAAAACTAGTCAGTTTCAAAACTAACTGGTTTTCTGGTGATCAGACCTATGCCTATTAGCTACAGGGAGACCATGAGGTGGCTAAGTCCTCTCAGTTTAATCAATAGTGTCTATATGCAGTGTACATAATATATGCTTTTGTGTTCATCATGTAAACTTAGGCTACTGTTACTTATTTTTACACTTAAACTGTAGCTAGTAGGCCCAGTGCTGGCTGAGAAAAAGAAAAATACTATTCACAATTTTTTCAGTTTGTTTCTTTAGCCCTCCAATGATTTTTTTCTTGCTACAGGACTGCTGATAATTCCAGGTTTCTGGAAGTCAGATATACTATTTGGTCCACTACTGTATTTGAATTTATTTATTTATTTATTTTTTTAAGTTGGAAAATAATCCTTTTTTGTTTTATAATCTTTATGTATTTTTTTTCAATTACTTAAACATGCAAAAGTGTATTTAAAATTTATGAGTTTTAAATACATTAACAAGCTTACAATGAATTAAAAAATAATTTTATTTCCACTATTAGAGAGGAATAAGAATAATTACCATAATCATAAAAATGGTAAAAGCTAAATAAAAGGAAAAAAATTAATAATTTCTATATTTTAATTTTTCAAAATTTCTAACTAAAATTTAAGAGTAAAAATCTCATAAAAAGAAGAAAGAAAATTTTAGAAAGATATAAGAAAATATATAATTTAAAGAAAAGTTTGCAAAATGTATCCAAGATAAATATAAACTTTAAGCACAACATTGAAAATATGAATTATTTATTTTTAATTTATTGATCTTATATCTTTCTGCCAGGTCTCAATTCCTTTAATGATTATATATTGTTTGTATGATGATATGATTGCATGTTGGCATATTTAGGAGCGTAGTAACACCAGAAAAGTTAAGATGCTCCTAAATATTTATATTTTGTTCTCTCTACTATTGAAACTTTTGAAGCTATTAGCTATCTTCACTTGTATTTGTAACTCTGGATAGAACCCTACTGAGTCTTGTCAGCCAGTCAGGCCCAAATTTTTTTATTGAGTTATTTTCTTTGTTCTTCCAATCTCTACTAGATTTACACTAAGTAGAAGGTAAAGAAAAGATGGAATGAGAAAATAGTGTTGTAGACAAAAGAAATATCAGACAGAAAAAAGTGGAGAAAAATACAGGAAGTCTTGCCCAGCTCTGGAATGTTACAAGCTATCAGCAATAATAATATAAAAATTTAAAATGATTAGATGATTCTCAGAAGTATGTTATATGGGCTAAAAGAAAATTAAATTAAGTTGGAGTATTAAACTAATTAAGGTTACATCAATAATTATTTTATTAATAACAATCAATTATAATAGATAATTAGATGATATTTAAATGTAAATCTAATGCTGACTAAATTGTGTGTGATCAACATTAATAAGATTTAGAATTACATTATTTTATTCATTACATATACAATTTCTTAATCATTTTCAATAATATATTAACTAGGGTTTCTCATTTCTTGGTATTTTGCTTGTCCCAGGATCCCGGGATAAAAGTGAACTGTTTCCTGGGATCCCGGGAAATCCCGGGATAGAATTAATTATTTTTAAGGTATACAAAATATCTTGAAATCAAATGATATAATTATTTTCCATTTTTTAAAGTAATTTTAAAGTTTTGTAACCTCCAAAATCATATTAATAATGCTGTGTTAGGTCTATAGGCCTATAATAAAAATTACCTTTAAATAACGTAGAAATTTTCACAAATAGAAAAAAATTAATTAAAGTTTGCTGGAAACTGCATACAACAACAACAA